AATAAAACGCCAGGTATAAAGGTGTATACGTCTCCCTCTTCTACTTGTGATATGATTGACCAAAGCGAAATCTTAATGGTTTTACGAGTCGTGTAAACGTGTCTGATTATGCAAACAGGGGGGTGGGGACTTCTTTAACATGCGAGTGATTGTGGTTGGGCGACTCTGATCCTCAAAGGATCCAGTAACGATGTAAGCAGCTTTAAACTGTGCATCATTTGAGGATTTTTTCCCAGCCCAAAATAAATAAATAAATAGATGTCCAACTACTGGAAATGCTGAATCATTTTGCCGTACTAGTAAACATTTCTTACATCTGGCACTCATTCATCAGCACTCTCCACAGAGGAACTATAAATATCTATTTTTGGAAGATGCACTTATACTAACGAACATGAGGACCTGTCATAATAACAGACTACAGAAGCTAGCCTTTCCAATGGGCAGGCTCTGTGTCTTACATAAGCGGCTCTTCTGCATTCAGAGGCCTGTGCACGGTTTACTGCATCTTACGTAACAGAACAGCCAGAGATAGAATGGAAGTAGAGAAAGTGTAAAGACAGGTGCTGAGGTGCAGCAGGGGTCGGTGCACGACCCTTTCTCATTCTGATATTTCCGATTCGGGATTTGCTTTTTTTTAATTGGGCTAAAGGAGAGTTGATTTATCCTTTTCATAAAAAAGGATCTTCCTCTTACAAAAAAGTAAACCTTGTGTTAAGAATGACGTTTAATGTAAAAAATATCACCAAACCTTCGTTTTTAGACCCTCTCAGCTTCATGCTGGTCTGTAACGTCCCCTTGTATCAATCCAATCATTATATGAAAGATAAATCCTAGTTCTGCAAACATTTAACACAAGTTAAATACTCAGTTTCATTCATAAACATGCAAAATGGCGTATGAAGGTTGTTCTATGTTGATTTTAAAGTATGCATGTTACACCATATTTTTAGCTATGTTACCGAAAATGGTAATCAAATGGTATTACCATTTTGTTACAGTAACTGAATCATGGGACTGTCACAGTACTGTTTTTTTTTCCAGGCACAGGCCAAATCAGCCCAGCTTGTACCGGTTTCTAATGTGCATGTGCTCTCATGAGCCAACTAACTTCATCATAAATCATCCCTTAGGTGCTCTGAATCAGTTTTACAGGGAAGTATGTAATATCATGGCTGCAAGATGTTGACGCAGTTTCTAAGATAACAAATCAAAAATACCAGACACAAGACAAAAAGAGAAAGACAGACTTCATGGGCATGCACGATTCCGCTTAAAAATTCCCTGTGGGGAAATTCATGTGGCTTCGGGTTTTTATTTGTATGAGTGTGTGGTAAACACATGCCACAACTCACTGCCGGTCGATGGGCAGAGGAACGCAGTGACGAAGTAGGGCAGAGGTCATTGCACAAACAAGGTTAGAGAACATGACCCTTGTAGCCAGAGGCAGGGCCGCATCATGCATGCATATGCGCGCACACACACACACAACAGTGCCAAAGAGAAAACAAAGGACTGTTTTCATGTGATAGCAGCCTGTGTTACACTCAGAAATGCCAGGCAGCCATCTATTTTCTGCCATGGGCGTCACTTTTTCTATTTAGTCACTTTCTCCATTTAGTCCAATACAGTTTACCAATCTAAAACCCTTCATGCTTTTGTGAGTGTTATTTAAAGGAATGCACAAATATTACAATTCGGGCTGATGCAATAAGTTGATAATTCTTTTCAAATGGCAGATGTCAAAATTTTATACTATTTTGTCTAAATGCATTCCAAGTAAAACAATAAAAAAAACATTTAAAATAATACAATTTATCACAGCATTACAAATGTACAGTATGGAAATACCAATACTGATACATACAAAAACATACATACATACACACACACATATATATATATATATATATACACATATACATACACATATACATGTATACATATATATATATACATATATATATATATATGCGTGTATATATGTGTATGTGTGTGTGTGTATATATATATATATATATATATATATATATATATATATATATATATATATATATATATGTACATTTTATATGTGCATACATAATTCATAATTATGTGCATTTGCTTTTTCCCAAAAGTCCAGTATGTGTGTATATATATATATATATATATATATATATATATATAAAATATATATATATATATATATATATATATATATATATATAAAATATATATATATATATATATATATATATATATACACGTGTATATATATATACTGGACTTTTGGGAAATATGTATATATATATATATACTGGACTTTCGGGAAAAAGCAAATGCACATAATTATGGCATGTGAAAGTGTAGCATACTACAGTTTGAAATGTTTCTGGTACTAGAACTACATATTTTCCAATACATACAAGGAGTGTTCAGTGCACTGCACAGTTAGCAATATGCTAATATTCCATTCCGAACAGCTCCTCCCATATATACGCCGGTGTTCATTGTTATTCAATATGCTTTACATTTCCTCAACCAAATATTAAATCTCAGCCCGATCAAAGCTTTGCTCTCGTCCTGATGTCGGCTGATAAGTCTCTAACTTCCGGCATCTCAAATTTTCCAAACACATCTTCACACAGAGCAAGATGTTTTTGTGCCCATTTAGAAGGCTGTCCAGTGTGAATTAACAGCTTGAATGATATCACATGCGGAAGCTCTGGGGGTGTGACGCCCCCTTCATATCAAGAAATCTTGCGGAAAGCACCTGTAATTACTACTTGATTATCCCCCCACCCCCACCAAAAAAATCCTACCATCCACCATCGGTCAGTGACCCCAGCTAATCGCCCTCAGGTCACCAGAAGGCCATCTAAACCAAAAAAAGTGGCTTTTAAATCACAAAGCCTTAGAGAAGGACACTATCCAGAAACCAGGAAACGGAAGCAAGTGCACATGCACACGCTGCCCTGCCAGGGATTTTCTGCCCAGAGGGCGCATGGCTGTGGGAATGACCGCGGGAGCTGGCACGCAAGTCCACTTCATTTTATTGAAAAGGACCCAGCAGAGCTTGGAGCACACAAGCTCTGGGCTCCAAAACAGGGCAGCTATCAAATAACATCACACAGCAGATAGCAGAGGAGAGGGTTCACTGAAGTAGTAAACGCACACAAGCTGAAGCTAATGCAGTACGAATGAGCAGGTCACGGGAAACCTTATTTATAACATCAAACAAGGAGAGAAAGTGGAAAAACAAGTCAACAAAAATGTTAACACCTGTCTGTGTCACTCTTTGTCAGAGACAGACACAAAAAGACTTAATTTACATGGCAAGAATTCTACCCACTCAATGTTGACTGCAAGAGTGCTTAAATACATTGGACTGACAGCTTAATTTCACTGTTGAAGAACTTAAAGCTTTGGATGGGGGATCTGAATTTTATTTCCAAAGACACATTACATGTTAACAAGACTAGTGTGACCTTGTTAATATGCAAACTGGGCCAGGGTTAAAATGCAAAGCTTTTATTTTTGCTGAAGCACTTGTATTAATTCTTACTATTATCATCATACTATATTAATTTTATTATATAGTAGTTAGTCTTTTTTTAAATCATCTTAATTTTAAATTTTCATATTTCATTTAAATTGTATTTTGTCATTTAAATTGTAATTTTTTTAAGTTTAATTTATAGTCATTTTTTTAGTTAGTTTCAAAATTATTTTTAATTGGCTTTAATTCATTTAAATAGTTCAACTTAAACAAGTTAAAAATGCTGCTTTTGCAAATAACTGAAATAAAATAAGTTTCAATTATTTAATTTTATTTCTGGTTACCACTATATTTTATTTTTTATTTTTATTGTATTATTTTTTTTGTTTTTATATTGTATTATATTGAGTGTACTGTCTTGTCTGTAATAAAGTTTATTATTATTAGATCAAATTACAAAATATCAGTTTTTCAAAATAAGTTTTATTTGAGCTTTAAAGACTTTTATGCAAAAATTCTAGTTTGCCATATGCATATGATTGAATGCATAAACTAGAATTCACTGTCTTTACATTGTCATGAAAAGAGTAGAAAATATATACGATATAACTAAACAGACGAGGATATCGCACTAGTCTCATCTTTACATATCCTGTATAATGCTTAAAGGGTAAGTTCATCCAAAAATAAAAATTCTGTCATCATTTACTCATTGTTCCAAAACCACATGTCTAGACTTACTTCTGCCAAACACAAAATAAGATATTTAAGGGAAATGTCGCAGGGTTTTTATTTTTGTCCATACAATGGAAGTCAATGTGGTAACTTGTATCCTTTAAGCTGTGCTCCACATTTGTCTCAGACAAAAAAAGTAACAAAACTCTACAGTCAGAGAGTGAATAAAAGAGCATGATGTGGTGGTGGGGACGCTGCCAGTTCAGTCTCTGTGGGTAGGAGTGTTTGAGCAGCAGCAGGAAACGTGATCCCCCTGCTCACAGTCAAACGACCTATAGTAACCCTCAGGGAGCAGGGTTACTATAGGACAAACCACTGTACTGAGAAAAAAAAAAAAAACTTTTACAGGCTACTGTGCAAAGTGCTCTTTCTCTGCGCAAGACACATGACTACAGCTGATGTGAGGCTGAAAGAACAGCCATAAAACCAGCATTGTTAAATGAATATTTAATATGTAACTTGCCCTAGATTTTGCTGTTAAATCTTAACACAGGCATACTCCAAAAACAAGATATAGCTCAAGTCGAGCATGGAATTTACATTAGACACAGAGAATGGAAGGAAACGCGCTTTACTTTCAGTAATCTCACAAACAAATTCACACACCCACAAGCTCTTGCGTTTCTTACTGCCGTTTTTCTGACATCTTGCACTGTTTTGAACGGAAGTCTAAAAACATCTCTACACACAGACGGCGATGAAATGCTCTCAGCCACAACTTCGTCAAATTATATGCGTTTTCTATTTTGCTGCTTCTACATGTGTTTGTGTACGTGGTACGTACCTTGTCTGCTCCTGCAGAATGAGGTGAGGCTCCACAAAGAACTTCACCCGGAGCCGTAGTCTGCACGGCGTGAGATTGTCCATCTGCTGGGAGATTCTGTTCCTCAGGTTCAGCCACAGGTTCTCCCCCTTACTGCCGGAAAACTGCAGCCCAAAGTAATCCACCTCAATAATTCCCAACTTCCGACATACCTGTCACCAAGAGACATATTTCATACTGTTAAACATTTGTTTTCTTGTCCCCATCAGCTTTCATTGCATGGCAACGAGCAGCTTGAACATTCTGCCCAACATCTTTTGTGTGCCACGGAAGTGTCTTTTTTTTGTGTGTGTGTAACATGAGAATTACTCATCCTTTTTTGTTGGCGAGTAAGTCTTCAAGTTGAAATAATCTGTTCTACCACATTGTGATCTTTAACTGAGTGAAACGGCTTTTCGAACAAGAAGAAAAAAAAAGGAGACAGAGAGTAGAACGGGACTTGATTTTGTCCACCGGGAATCGATCGTTGGATCGTGTGATCTCATGTGTTTGACAGGTCGTCCCATCCTTGCGCCAGTAAACATGTCACCAAAGAAGATGTGTTGTTGCAAGTGGGATGCAAAGTTATTTTAATTACTAGGACATATGAATTAAAAAAAAGTGATGATGTGCATGGATAATACTGAACTGATATATAATATAATACTAAAAAAAAATAATTTATGATCACATTACGCATAGACTTTACTAAATGTAGGCTATCTATTTATTTTAAAATTTTGCAAGCATGATCTTAAGATAAATTATAAGATGAAAACAAACTAAAAAATGTGGTTTAATTGAACAAACAAGATAAATAAATGTACTTGTTACTTGTAATACTTATTACTAATTATAATAAAAACCATTTTAAAGGGCAAATCGGAATAGGAAGAATTACACCTTTAAAACACTATTCAATCGTCATCTGTTTGTTTAGTTAACCAACTACCCTGCCTGTATTCATTGTGAGAAAGAGATTAAATGATTAAAATAGGTTTTTAGATTTTATCTTAGATAAAAATTCTAAAACTAGATCTGGTCTTAATTTAATTTTTTTTTTAATGAGAGTCAACTGAAAAATAAAGAATTCTAACATAGTTCAATCCATCACAGTCCATCAAAATATGCTTCAGTGATAATGGATTCTGGCATGAGGGTCTTTAAAAGAGGATTGTATGGTGTGTGTAGGTAATACAAATAAAATTTGTAAAGTTCATAAAAATATCCTGAGATTCATTGAACAAGAGAAATTAATTAATTAATCTGAGCCTCGTTGATATGAAAGGACAACTTTCACGTCTTATGCCAATTTGATTTCTTAGCTTTCTAAACTGATGCTAGACTTAAAACGTTTAAGTTGTGTAAAAATCAGATAATACAAGTTCAGAGATGTCCCTAAAACATTTTAGGACAATCATAAAGTATAAAATCTTGAAAAATTGTCATTTGCGTTGGAGGAAATGCAGAGCCTCCACGCACGAGCCAAACATCTGCTGCTGCAGCGAATGAACTTTAGTAACCTCGAGCATGCCATCACACATACACACTGTCATCTCTTTTTCTTCGAAAAAATAGTAAATGTAAATGTTTTATTTTAAACCTTCAACATACTGTCCCTGTTAATCACCATGCCAAATTATTTTGTTTGTTTAGGAACGATTATATATATAGTCTACCATTTGATTATTTGGCTTATACAGGCACTATTGATTCCAATCATTTAAATAAAGAAATTAATGTGACTCAAACACTCAAAGATTTTAAGAACATTCCAAATTTTTAACCAAACGCATGCAATCAGATTGATGTAATGATGTTGATATATTAAGTTTCCACGCGCCTCGAACTCATTCATCCAGCGCTCAGGCTAACTTACAACTTTTGATTTTCAACATTTGTGTTTATGTTCTGTGGATTAATGCACGAGCGCTAAAATTTCCGACGCGTTTAATAACAACCATCACAGACTTTCATTCATGATCTTACCTTATTCAGACAGTCCTCTCCGTTCGCCTTTGCGTCCACTTCAATCTCCATCACCACCGCATCCGGTCGAGTTACATGGCAGAGCATTTTGGAAAGGTGTTTTATCTTTGGTCTACCCGTCCTGTATGAAAAAAAACAATAAAAACAGCTCTCACTGTTGTCCTCTCTAAGCACCCTACATCAGCCTTCGCTCACTTTCCTCAAGCCTTCTGTTATCTGTTTCTCTCTGTGGCCCAGCGCTTCCTGCCCTATATAAATGAAGCACGATTTAAACCCCGCCCACTCCCACCACAGCCAATCACACGACGCGTAACAAAGAGCAACAGAGATCCCTGCCATGTTCATTTAGTAGTGAACACAATAGACACCACTAGCGTCCCCTACAGGTCCTTTACACATATCATGAGGATGATAATAATAATACATTTTGAAAAAAAGATAAATTAACAGAATATAAACATGAGCAGTATGCACACTAGAGTAGGCTATACGCTACATAAATTCAGTAACATCACATTACAGATCACATAAACACTACTTTCATCTGATATTCAGGGAATTAATTAAGGTACCAATGATCATTTATTTATTTATTCATTTATTTTCCTAATAGTCTAGGTATGAAATATAATGTTCATTGTCAGATCTATATTTAGTAAGAAAGTACGTAGCATTTAACGGTTTTACCAAAAGCGATTTATAGTAGGCCTAGTTCAAATCATGATTAAAATGATCAACAATTATTTTCATTCACAAAACAAGTTTAACAAAATAAATAAATACACATATAACAAATACATATTTAAAAAATAATATATAATAATATATGATATAATAATGTAAAATATATAATACAAATATATATAAATATAAAATAATTCATAATATGTTTTAATAATAATTATATGCTCCATAATAATTCGTTATAGCGCTTTTCTGGGTATGTGGAAGGGGAAATCTCCTAAACCATGTTGGGGAATCGCCTATGTTGTTTAAGAAAATAACTTATTTGCTTGATGCTTGTCCTTCTGATACACCATTTTCACTTGAGTGAGTCCTAGCAAATATCTCTTGAGTGAGAACACGGCCCTGAGCCAGAGCCTGCAGTCTTGTCCGTCAGCGCGTTACTGATTTACACTTCACATGTACTATGCATGTTTGCCTATACAACCCTCCCTTGAGGAGCACATTGACACTGTGAGTGACACATCAACCAAAAAGCTTTGATAATGAATATTTAAATTGCAGGGGGACCAGACCAGACCAGAAACGGTCCTCAGGGAAGTGACTAGATTTTTTTTTTTTTTTTTTCAGTTGTCAGAATGACCTTGCAGTGCGAGAGAGCCCCGGGACAGGCACCCAGTGTTCCGACACCTGTCCTCAAACTCCACACAGTGTTCACTGAATACATCAGGAAAGCAGTGTTCTTGAGGCTGGTGTGTAATGCCAAGACGGATCTGTTCTGCTCACTGTAGCCTGCCCACACGTTGCCAGTTCAAACCTCTTTCTCCCCAAGCATTCACAGATTTGACGACAGGATCACGAAAGTTAGTGCAAGTCTGCAAGCCACCGTTTATGCATTCTTAAAGTTGTCTAGAAGGTGATTCAATAAATAAAACAACAATAAAAATCCATTCATATAATTATAACAAACAGGAGACCGTGGTGTTGACGGTCCAGGTTCTTGGTATAAATTGATGACATTATATGGAGTCCTATATATGATTTTGGAAGAAAAGGGAATACAAATTTTTGAAACGTTTCATAAAGGTTTAACAGTATTTTTAACCGAGAAAGTGCACACTGTGACTATAACCTTTGGTCACTTCACTGGGAGACTCGGGCTGTCTCTTAAGCAGGATTCACACTGTTGGTAGCTCAACGAAATCTCATCTCGAGTCTAACTAAAATCAGTATTTAATTCATATACCTTTTTAAGGGGGAAGAGTTGCATAGAGGAGTCATAGAGTCATTCTGAACAATGCATGTAAATGATTCAGCTGGTTACTTGAGTTCATCAGGATGACAGCGTCAGGCATTGATGGTGATCCAATCAGTACTGTAGATCACTCAAACATTAACACTATCATAGAGACAAAAGCTGTACCCACACTGTAAAAAAAAAATTGATGGTTAAACTTTAAAAAGTAAGTAACCTGGATGCCTTCAAATTTTAAGTTGATTGAACTGGAAAAAGTGAGTTAATACAATGAAGGAGAATGATGTAATCATCAGAAACTCAAAATGATATGTTATCTGAACTAAATAAATTATTTAAGTTGATTTGACAAAAGAAAAAAATGTTGTGATACACTGTAAAAATATTGTTGGTTTAACTTAAAAAAGTACCTGGTTGCCTTCAAATTTTAAGTTGATTGAACTGGAAAAAGTGAGTTAATACAATGAAGGAGATTGATTTAATCATCAGAAACTCAAAATAATAAGTTATCTCAACTGAATAAATTATTATAAAGTTGATATGACAAAAGAAAATATGTTGTGATAACAAATCTTGAAAATATTTTTTACAGTGGCAGAGAAGTGACCAAAGGTTATAGTCAGAGTCTGCACTTTCTCAATAAAAAATACTGTTAAACCTGAAACATTTAATACATTTGTATTCCTTCAGTAAAATTAAGAATGAACTACTACACTGTAAAAAAATCTTTTCATGATTAGTAATCACAACATTTTTTCTTTTGTCAAATCAACTTAAATAATTTATTTAGTTCAGATAACATACAATTTTGAGTTTCTGATGATTCAATCATTCTCCTTCATTGCATTAACTCACTTTTTCCATTTCAATATATTTAAAATTTTATGGCAACCAGGTTACTTACTTTTTTAAATTAAACCATCAATATTGTTTTACAGTGCAATTCGTAGTTTTAAATAAACTAAGGCCTTGTTTTAATTCTAAATACTATTTAAAAATTCATTCCCTAATTTTAGTTAAAGCATGGCCATTGTTCCCTCATTTTAGTTCAAAAATTGTAAAAAAAGAAAAATACTGTAGGTTTACCAAGTAGCCTGAACATTTTGAGTCTAATTAAATATTTGAGTTACTTTAACACAATGAAGGAGATTGGTTTAAATCAACAGAAGCTCACAATTTGTTATCTGAACCACACTCATTATCGAAGTTGATTTGACAAAAGAAGGTTGTGCTAACAAATCATGAATTTATTTTTATTCTAAAATAATTCTTAAATTCTAGCCATGTTTTTTTTTTTTTTTTTAATTAGTAGGTAGGTAGCGCTTAGTTAGTCAAGTTACAGTATACCCAATGGAGCCTTTCCGTTGGGTAAGGGGAGTTACATTTCATTAGCTACATTACACACACTGTGATAGACCAATCACAACAGCCTGGGGAAGGCTGACCAATCAATCAGAGCACACTGTGCTTTTCAGGAGGAGGGTTTTTGAAGAAACCAAGACTAAAAAATGACTTTCAGACAGAGGGTGAAAATAGGTGCAACAACAAGGCTGTTCCTTCACTGTAACTCTATGCAATATTTTTTTTCGTCTGATAATTTAATTGCAAAAGTAGTAGCACACCTCTTTTCAGCTTGTCGTGGCAAGCATGAATAACAAATAAATAAGAGATTTTGAGTTAATGAGCTGTATGGATGCTGGTATTCATGGATTTAGAGCTGAACTTCCTGTAGATCTCTCTGTGGGACAGAAGTACGAATTGCATGTCGATGATCTCATGTAGAGAAGCATGTTAAATTCTAGTCTAAAAACCAAAACATGCACATACCACAAAAAAGACCAATAATAAAAAAAAACCATCATGAACAGAAATAATTGCATATGTTTACTTAAATTATAATCAGATCAGCAGCCTGTCACAATACTGCTTGTGTCAGATTGAATGAGCAGTTTTATGCCAATACAGAATTAAAAAATATGTTGACACAAATAATAAATCAGAAGCTTGTTACATTTTACTTGCTTTAGGCTTTTAAATCAAATGCTTTCCTTGGTACCATGGTCCAGAATCCTTAATCTGATGTTAGACCACAGGGGATTTGGCAGTATTTTCTCTAGGGTTAGGTTTTCAAAATAAATTATTCTAATTGGCAAATGGTCAAATGTGCTCTGAATGTCACAGAAAGTCCAGTCCTCAATTATGCTTGCACAATGTGATTAATGCAGCACACGCTCCTGGCTCAACATTGTGTATTCAATCCGTCACTTCCCACTCATTTCAGGGGTAGGTTAGGGTTAGGGCTGGACTTGTTTGCTATACACTCCCATTAAAAGGTGAAAGAGTTAGTTCCATAGATATGTATATAAAGGCTAGATGTGTTACGGCGGAGTTTCTATCGTCATCACCGGCGGCCATCTTGTCACAGAGAAGCTGATGTAAGATGAGTGGTCAGCACGAACACAAATACTCTTCTTTCGTTGAAATCTTGACGGATTTACACGGTTTGGTTTCTTACAAACGTTGTTAACGTGTGGATGATTATTTATACACTTTTTATTCATAAGCAGGGCCTGAAGTTAACTTTTTCGGCCACCGGCCACTGTGGCAGGTGGATTTAAAAATTCACCTGCCACAGAGACTTTTTACCAGCCATTTTTTTTTTTTTTTTTTGCCTCATAAACGTAAAAACCGGGAATTTCACTATATTGTTCTTTAACTTGCTTAACTTCTTTAACTTCTTTAAAGTGCTGTCAAGTAATAATAACTCTAACAACATACATTTAAAAAAAAAATCTTTTTATTCATTGATTTTGACAGACACAAACACAACAGGCTAGCTATAATATAGTATATACTCAACAGATAGACCTACCGCAGCTCGTAAACAAATCACACGCGGCTGTGTTGATGGCGGATTTATTCACGTAGACAGGTCTTACTCTTAACAGCTTTTAGTTATAGCGTTCAGGAACCGTTAAATATTAACTAAATTAATACTGATATTACTGGTAAAATTACCGGGTACCGGACATTTTCTCACCGGTTCCCAACTCCTAATATGCACAGTTGCACACGCACACACATCTGTGCAACTGTCATTGTACTGTAACATACGTCAGCGTTACATTATCTCATCCCATCTCACCAGCAGTTTAATACTCGCACATCCAAACGTAGTCAGAAAAAGGGTCTCATCTTCTTTCTGATCGCATGAACGTTGCGAAACAACAGTCGCTGTCATAAATCAGCCGCTCACGAACCTTGCCATTGCCGCCGATTGTTCACTTTGTATTAAAA